AAATCACAGTGTACCACTTTGTAGCACTGTTCCTCATTCATTTTTATTTCTCCTTAATACTTCATTGTATGGATGTCCCTTGGAATGTTAACAGTAGTTACATTTCTAGGCCAGATGACAAACATCTGCCAAAATGTGCATAGCTGAGAAGCTGCACTTTGGTAATGAAAAGTTATAGGAGAATATAATTGCTATACTAATATTTAAAACAAAAAAGCAAAATGGAGTATGTTTCTAAATGTACTTTATTTTTTTTAAGACTTTACTTACTTGACAGAGAGCCAGAAAGCACAAGTGGGGGGAACAGGAGAGGGAGAGGGAGAAGCAGGCTCCCCGCTGAGCAGGGAGCCCAACACAGGGCTCGATCCCAGGACCCTGGGATCATGACCTGAGCCGAAGGCAGACGATGAACTGACTGAGCCATCCAGGCACCCTAAATGTACTTTACAGTGCTTCTTAGATGCTTGTGCTTAAGGAATAGCAGATTCAGCAGGAGGTAGATGGAGGCTTATAGAATGGGGAATGGGGGAGCACCTGGGTGGCTTAGTCGGTTAAGCATCTGCCCAGGGTCCTAGGATCGAGCCCCTCATTGGGCTCCTGGGTCAGTGGGGAGTCTGCTTCTCCCTCTGCCACTCCCCCTGCTTGTGCTCTCTGTCAAATAAATAAAATATTTTTATTTTTATTTTTTTGTTTTTTTAAAGATTTTATTTATTTGAGAGAGAGAGAGAGAATGAGAGATAGAGAGCACAAGAGGGAAGAGGGTCAGAGGGAGAAGCAGACTCCCTGCTGAGCAGGGAGCCCGATGTGGGACTCGATCCCGGGACTCCAGGATCATGACCTGAGCCGAAGGCAGTCGCTTAACCAACTGAGCCACCCAGGTGCCCTAAATAAAATATTTTTATTTTTTTAATTTTTTTTTTAAAGATTCCATTTATTCATTTGAGAGAGAGAGAATGAGAGAGAGAGAGCACAAGAGGGAGGAGGGTCAGAGGGAGAAGCAGACTCCCTGCCGAGCAGGAAGCCCGATGCGGAACTCGATCCCGGGACTCCAGGATCATAACCTGAGCCAAAGGCAGTCGCTTAACCAACCAACTGAGCCACCCAGGCGCCCTAAATATAATATTTTTTAAAAATTCTAAAAAAAAAAAAGAATGGGGAAGGGGACTTCACACACTATAAATAATAAAGATGCTATTCTTGACTCAAAATGTGGTTTTGTATAAATTTACCATATGACCCAGCAATTTCCAGCACTCCAGTATATACCCGAGAGAACTGAAAACATGTCCACACAAAACCCTGTACACAGGGGCGCCTGGGTGGCTCAGTTGGTTAAGCGTCTGCCTTCATCCCAGGTCATGATCCCAGGGTCCTGAGATCGAGTCCTGCATCGGGCTCCCCGCTCAGCGGGGAGTCTGCTCCTTCCTGTCCCTCTGCCTACTGCTCCCCCTGCTTGTGCTGTCAGATAAATAAATAAAATCTTAAAAAAAAAAAGTTGTACACAAAGGTTCACAACAGCACTATTCATAATAGCTAAAAGATAGAAACAATCCAAATTTCCCTCAGTTATAAGTAGACAAAATATGGTATATTCATACAGTGGAATATTATTCAGCAATAAAAAATGAAGTAGGGGCACTTGCCTGGCTCAGTTGGTGGAGCATGTGACTCTTGATCTCGGTGTCATAGAGTTCAAGCCCCACGTTGGGTGTACAGATTATAAATAAACTTTAAAAATCCCCCCCCAAAATAGTAAAGCACTGTTTTAGGCAAGGTCGCCCTCTAAAGGGGAACAGAGGGGCCTATGAGTAAATTTCCTAGTGCTGACCAGGAAAATGCATGTTGACTGGTTAAAGGTTATATTCCTGGTGGAATTGAAACTCTAGTTAAGGTATTAAGTCTTGGTTTTACTGATCTGGGGCTCCTAGCCTTAGTGGGCCTGTGTTTTTTCTTTTTGACACTATGTACTATAGAAGATAAAAGATACATAGACTATGGGAATTTAAAGAACACTTCAGATTACTTTCAAATGACCAAAGTTCTTTGAGGGAATAGAGCAACTCTCTTACCTAAAGATATAGTCAAACTAGGATGCACTGAGGGGAAAAATGGGAGAGGCAATAAATATAACTAGGGGGGCGCCTGGGTGGCTCAGTCGTTAAGCGTCTGCCTTGGGCTCAGGTCATGATCTCAGGGTCCTCGGATCGAGCCCCGCATCAGGCTCCCTCCCTGCTCAGCGGGAAGCCTGCTTCTCCCTCTTTCACTCCCCTGCTTGTGTTCCCTCTCCCGCTTTCTCTGTCAAATAAATAAATAAAATCTTTTAAAAAATAAATCTAATTAGGGAGGTGGGGTGGAGGAGAAAGCCTTTCTTGATCTTCTCTGCAAGATAAAAGTTTGGTAAAAAAAAAAAAAAAATCCCCCCCCAAAAAGAAATAAAGTACCCATAGGTGCTGCAAAATAGATAAACTTTGAAAACATTATGATAAATAGAGGAAGTGAGTTCCAAATGACCGCATACTGGGGGCGCCTGACTGGCTTAGTCGGTAGAGCATGCAACTCTTGATCTCAGGGTCATGAGTTCAAGCCCCACATTGGGTGTAGATCTTACTTGATTAAAAAAAAAAAAAGACCACATATTATTTGATTCCAAGAACAGAAAATGTTCAGAAAAGACAAAAGTAGATTACCAGTTGCCTAGGGCTGGGGGCGGGAACAGGGATTAACTGCATGAGGGATATCTTTGGGGTGAGAAAAATGTTCTAAAACTGGATTTTAGTTGGGGTGCCCAGCTGGCTCAGTCAGTTGAGCATGCGACTCTTGATCTCAGGGTTGTAGTTTGAACCCCACCTTTGGTGTAGAGATTACTTAAAAATAAAATCTTGGGGCACCTGGGTGGCTCAGTCAGTTAAGCATCTGCCTTCGGCTCAGGTCATGATCTCAGGGTCCTGGGATTGAATCCCGCATCGGGCTCCCGGCTTGACGGGGAGCCTGCTTCTCCCTCTCCCTCTGCTGCTCCCCTTGCTTGTGCTCTTACTCACGCTCGCTTGCTCTCAAATAAATAAAATCTTTAAAAAATAATAAAATAAAATCTTAAAAAAATAAAACTGGATTTTGGTGACAGCTGTATAAGTCAGTAAATTTACTAAAAGTCATTAAACTGTACACCTGAAATGGGTGAATTTTTTGGTATGTAATTATATTTCAATAAAGCTGTTTGCAAAGCAAAACAAAACACAACATGGTTTTGCTCCTCCTTAGTAGTCACTTTTTTTTAAAGATTTTATTTATTTATTTGACAGACAGAGAGAGACAGTGAGAGAGGGAACACAAGTAGGGGGAGTGGGAGAGGGAGAAGCAGGCTTCCTGCCGAGCATGGAGCCTGATGCGGGGCTTGATCCCAGGACCCTGGGATCATGGCCTGAGCCGAAGGCAGACGTTTAACCGACTGAGCCACCCAGGCATCCCCTTTAGTAGTCACTTAATAGTGCACCAGCGCTATATACAATTAACAGTATCAGTTCATTTTTATAACACACAGAGAAAGGTTATTTTCTTGAAATAACTGGAAGAGGCAAAGGACATTGAATGTTATGTCCTATATTTACAACCCTAGTCCCTAGTACTGTAATACCTATAACACAATAGGAGCGTGATAACTGTTTATTGAATACAGTGTACTAAGTGAGAAAAAATCACCCACAGGGAGCTAACTGGTCTGTCATTAGTGAAAACCAGCAGGAACGAGAGAATCAATGTTAGCAGGGAAGACAGTTCCCTACCCTGATTGTCTGAGGTAGAAAAGTAAGTACAGTTATACATAGGTGCGATGTGGAATACAATTATAGTTATTTCATCCTTAGCAAGTTGAAAGGCATTTAGAAACCACTCAAGACAAAGGAGGAGGGTTGAGGAATTGCTCTGATTTTTAGAAAGCAATAGACCCAGTGAAATCAGAAAAGTTTATTGCCATTCATTATGAACAATTTAAAAGTGATATTAGCATGTTAGTCATCATACAAATTCCTTTTAAGTATAAAAATCAAGATGTCAGTGTCTGTTCAGGACCATCAGATGAGTCCAATACAAAACCATACTCTCAGACTTGGGGATCGCACCTCCACTCGTTAGAGGATGCGAGTCTGACCAAACCAAGCCCAGGCTTACATCTGAGATTTTCCCAGGCAAAGCAAGAGCAGGAGGTGCTATTAAATTAAAAGCCAATTACAAAGATTTCAGTAGCTAAATGGAAAGTTCCCAGAGACACAGGTGACAGCCGTGTTTCTAGCCCCTTTCAACCATGAAGTCCTGTAAGCACCTCAGGCAGCATCAATCCGAACATCCTGAGACCGGAATACACTCGAGCAACAGGTGCTTCACTTGGCCACCCGTGGGAAAAACTCAGTGACTACATAGAGCAGTTGGCACATGTGCCCACAGGCCAGTTGACTCCTACAGTCCCCACACTACGATAATAGACCCCCACTTTCCAAAGTGCTACTGGACCTTAGTTAAGGAGGGCCACCCTCACCCTCTTCCAGTTAACACCCTGTTCACACAGAGCCCCTACAACCCCCCCCAAACAGGAGGCCCTGGGTCACATGCCAGAAATAGATATAGCACATTGAAACTGAGATAGAAGACATCTACTAGACAATACTATCCATCCTGGATCCTCCACAGCTTTAGACAATGGTGTAGAAATACACACCAATGAATTACTGTATGAAGAGGAGAGTTCAGGGATAAAGGAAAAGCAAAACAGAACATTTTAGTCCATGGTGACGGAAAAGAAAACCAGAAGGAAAGGAGGGAGAATAGTGAGCTTATGCAAGCTTTCACTTTCTAACAACACTTGGTATCTGCTCAACCTCCAGCTTCCGATTCTCCAAGAAGAGGGGGTGCCAGATTTAGCAAACAAAAATACAGGATGCCGCATTAAATTCGAATTTCAGATAAACAGCAAATAATTTTTTGACTCTATGTCCCAAATATTGCATGGTACATACTTACACTAAAAAAGTGTTTGTAAAACAAAACAAAACAAAACTACTCTCTTTTATCTGGCAACCCTATCCAGGAGGCTCAGTTAACCTGAGGACTAATCTGACCATATACTGTCAAAGAGCAACAGCAAGACCATCCCAGAGCAAGGCACAGACTCTTCATTCACCACAGAGGGAGCTACGTGATTCTTTTAACTCCATTTCCCAAACTCTCAAAGATCCAATGCTTCTTTTGGCAGGGTAAGAGAATATGTGCACAGTGGAGTTGTCAACCACTATCTGCCAGGTGGAGGAGTTTTCCTTCCGTATCTAATGAAGAAGGTCAAAAATACAACTAGGGAGAATAAGGAGAAGCAGGCTTACTAAGGTAAGGAGTCTGACTCCTACCGCCGCAGGGCAAGCTGAAATCCCCCAGCAAAATCCCCACAAATGTGACAGCCCTGGGGTCTGGAGATCCAACCTACTCCAACTTTCTTCAAGCAACTAAAAGACCTCAAAAGGCAACCAGGACTGAAAACACACACACACACACACACACACACACACACACACACACACACACAGAGTGTACAGAGGAGGGAGGAATAGGAAAAGAGCAAGGTAGGACACTGAGAAGAATCACACAACTCCCTGATAATGACCCGCAGAATATTTTGGTTGGGTGGTTGGTTGGTTCGTCTGTGGGGTTAACCTTCAGTGGTCTTTCCCTGAAGCAGAAGCTGACAGAAAAAAAGGGCCTCACAGAGGCCTCAGGGACACAGCTTTAATGGGGGATTAATTCCACATCACCAGGCCCATAGTGCTATCATAATCTGATAGCAGATCTGACCATCAGACCCCACATCCAATGTGCTACCATGACGAAGTGCCAAACTCATCTCCTGAGGGCAGAAGAGGAACCAGTAACAAGTCCGTGGCTGATAAACATTCCCCTCAAAGGCCCTCTCAGGGAAACATCAAAAAGAACAGGACCACATTATGCTTTTTTTTTTTCTCTCCACAGCCTCTTTGGGAATGTCTAGTTCCTCTTAACCCAGCCTCTCTCAAACTGTGCTTCCAGAGATGTTAACAGGTGTTGCGTGGAACCAAAAAAAAGAAAAAAGAAAAGGTTTGGTGAAATAAATTTGGGAAATGTTGCTCACTTATTAAAAGTTATAAATCCCCCCAGTAGAGGAACCAGTTCCTCTTTATTTAAATCACTGGTTACCAGAGCGAGATGGGTGGGGGGACTGGGGGAAATAGGTGATGGGATGAAGGAGGAGGGCACTTGTGATGAGCACCAGGTGATGCACGGAAGTATTGAATCGCTATATCGTACACGTGAAACTAACATTACAATGTATGTTAACTAACTGGAATTTAAATAAACACTTAAAAAAAAACCCACTGGTTCCTGACTTACTTGACCACAGAATCTTGTTAAGGAACATCTATTAGTATCTCCCAGAGCTTGGAAAAATGCTGCTTAGGCATTTTTGTAAGCATGTCTCATCTCCAGAATGGGAAGAACATGCTGACACTGGGAACACTCAGGAATCACATATAAAATGATTTTCCAAAATTAGTATATCGGAAAGTTTAAGGCAATGATTTGAAAACTGTAAAAACTTGTCTTTCTGTGAGACACTTGCTCAATGGTAAATACAGCTAGGAAAGCTAATTTAGAGGTAAAAGTCAGTCAGTCTCTCTCTCTCTCTCCCCCCAAACTTCCTCCAAAAGGTTCAGACCAAACTTCAAAGCAGCCATGTACAAACAAGGCTGTCTTTGTTCCTCCAAAAGCCCAATAACCTGGAGTCTAGGGTTTCTAGGAAAAGAGACAAATGGCTCATGCTGGCATTGTTTGTTCAATGCTATCAAAGGAATCCCTCTCATTCCCCCTTAGGTGCAGTCTCCAAGTAGCACCCCAAAAGCTATAAAAGGACACACTTCTTGGTGTTCTTCTTTGTGGCAGGGTAAAGCACAGCCCGAACAGCTTCTGAAAATACCTCGTGCACCCCATCCTGCATCAGGGCTGAACATTCTAGATACTTCACAGCCCCCACCTGCTTAGCCAGGGAAGTGCCTTGCTGAGGAGTTGTGGGCACTAGGCTCTGTTCCTTCAGCTTCTTCACTGTCTCAGTGTCATTCCGCAGGTCTCTCTTGGTACCTACCAGCAGGACAGGCACATTGGGACAATGGTGGGAGACCTCGGGGTGCCACTTATGCCTCACATTGGCATACGAGGATGGGTTGCCAATGGAAAAACAAATGACAAAGATATTGGTCTGGGGGTAGGATAGTGTTCGCAGTCGGTCATACTCCTCTTGGCCAGCTGTGTCCCACAGGTTCAGGCTGACGATTTGGCCATCCACAGATGTCTGGGCACTATAGTTGTCAAAGACAGTGGGGATATACTCCTCAGGAAAGGCATTCGTTGTGTAACTGATGAGGAGGCAGGTCTTACCTACAGCCCCATCTCCTACAACCACGCATTTGATTGTCTGCATTCTTCCCTTGGAGTCCTAAGTGCAAGAGAGAAAGAATGAATGTTCGCAGATGCTTGGTTCATTTGGGGAGCCTAAGCTTTATAAACATTTCTCTCTGAGGATAAAGAGAGGAGGTAAGACCCCCCCCCCCACTGCCCATCCCCTTAACACCATAGAAGAGTCAGCTGGAAAAGACTATATAGGGCAAGAGTTCTTACCGTGGAGTCCATGGACTGCTAGAGGATAAACTTCAGTAGGTCCTAGAAGCCGCCTCTGAAGTATGCAATATTATGTGCATGTACATAAGTGAATTTTTCTGGAAAGAAGATCCAAAACTGTCAACAGGTTGTCAAAAAGGGCTGTGAGCCCAAAAAGATTAAAAACCATTCATATACATAGGTATTTGTCACATTTTTGCCAGGAGGTCTCAGAGGTGCTAAAACATAGCAGGTGCTCAATAAATGGAAATTAATTTTTAAAATGCCATTGATGTTGGGGCACCTGGCTGGCGCAGTCAGTTAGGCATCCGACCCTCGGTTTCAGCTCAGGTCGTGATCTCAGGGTCATGGGATCGAGCCCTGCACTGCGCTCTGTGCTCAGCACAGAGTCTGCTTGAGATTCTCTCTCCCTCTCCCTCTGCCCCTCCCACATGCACATGTTCTCTCTCTCTAATAAATAAATAAATCTTTAAAAAAAACACACTGATGTAGAAGGAGGTTCTAAAGGTTGAAACAAAAGAAATATACCTCTTACTTTGGGTCTTTGGCTATGGTCTTTGCTTTTCAGCAAAGAAACCTCTGTTCTTGACAGTGACGTCATAAACTTGGAGAAAGGTAGGCCAGTCAGACTTAGCCATCCAGAGGAGGATGCTAAGAGTCCAGGCTCTGATGTCAGACCACCTGGAATCCAAAACCAGTCCTTTCTTTTTCTAAGCTTTGTCAGCTTGGGCAGGCTTTTCACCCGTGGCTTACATGAAAGAATGTTTGTGTGGTACTTAATAGTGCCTGCCACACAGAAAGTACTCATTAAGTATTAGAAACTACTATGACTTCATAATAATTCCTCTGTTCCAGGGAAGGCAAAAGTTCTGTAATGTCATTACAATGCTAGACAAACCAGGGACCTCATCCCCTCCCACCGTATCTGAGCAAAACCATTGGTCATACCACCACCATTTCTCATCCATTTCTTCATGAATCAAGTATTTGAGAGTTAATGGTAAGGCACAGATGACCTCCAAGATGTATGTTTACTATGCACTCCCACGTTTATACCCCCATATTAAAACTCTTATCAATGCCCTACCCTGTCAGTGCCCCCAAAGCACTCCATTTCCTTTAGCTTCTTAACTACTGCACTAATTTCAGACCTGATCCTATGATAGCATTAACTTCTTCAAGTGTTAATGGAGGAAAGGGGATAAACTGTCATATGTATTTGATTATTGAAAAAAAATTGAGGGTGCCTGGATGGCTCAGTTGGTCAAGCAAATGCCTTCAGCTCAGGTCATGATCCTGGAGTCCTAGCATCAAGTCCCACATCAGGGTCCCTGCTCAGTGGGGAGTCTGCTTCTCCCTCTGACCCCCCCCATGCTCTCTCTCTCTCGCCCTCAAATAAATAAATAAAATTGAGACTCAATTAATTTCTCACCTTGAGAATTTGGGGGAATAGATACATCCTTCATCCTGCTGTCTTACTAGCTAAGGTCTACATTAGGCCCATATAATAGACAAAACAAAACACCTTATTTTCAGTCAGAGTAAAGAAAAGTTGGCCTTCAGGATACCTGGGTGGCTCAGTGGGTTAAGCATCTGCCTTTGGCTCAGGTCATGATCCTGGGGTCCTGGGATCAAGTCCCACATCAGGCTCCCTGCTCAGTGGGGAGTCTGCTTCTCCCTCTGCCCCTCCCCCCTGCTTGTGCGGGCTCTCTCTCTCTCTCTCAAATAAATTAAATTAAATCTTAAAAAAAAAAAGAAAGAAAAGTTGGCCTTCTGAGCATGCTTCACACAGGCCCACTAGAGGTAGCTCTCATCCCACACAGCCAATTCTGACTAGCAAGGCATTCCACCTAGAAGCCTTCATTTAGCATGGGTCCCACAGCTAAAAGTCCGGAGTGTAATTCAGCTCCAGCATTCACTGACCATCAGCCCTATCTTTTTCCATCTAGGAACAGGCATAAGGATCAAACATACAAGGTCAATGGAAAAAGGGTAAAGTCACCACCACATTCTTTGAGAATAGCCTTCCTTGATTTTCCCAGTCTGGATTAATTTCTTTCTCCTCTGAATTCCTACAGCAATTCCTGCATGAACAACTCATCTTCCCAGCCTTCTATTCCATATCATCCGGTATCCAACGTCTCTGTTCCAAGTGACTGCTTTCAGGACAACTGTGCATCTGAGGGAGTTGCTGATCCAGAGCAAACTCTTAGGCCCAAAGACCACTTCGCATCCCAAGCTCAGCTCCTCATCTCTAGAACTAGGAAAAGGCATCTACACTCATTTCTGCTTGTTTCTCTCTACTAACCCTCCTGGTATATATGGTCTGCAGACGGGCATTCAAGCCACACTGATGGCTGAGGGCCTAGATGATGAAGGGCAGCTAGAACATCCCAGGTCTAAAACAAAACCCAGGACATCCTCACCCATAGCAAACTCTCTATGAAAGGGAGGTTCAGGAAAACTCCCAGGTATTCTGGAGGGCTACTTTGTACAATTAATTGACTCGTTTATTCAGCCCACATGTTCATCATACCGTCTTATTTACTTATGTGTGTGTTTGGAATTATCCATAGTTAAAAAGTTTAAAAATACTAAAAAAATACATCTAAAATAATTAACAGGACCTCTCAGAGATACCTGTATACCAGTGTTCACTGCAACGTTATGCACAAGAGCCAAGAGGTGGGGGCGCTTGGGTGGCTCAGTCGTTAAGCGTCTGCCTTCAGCTCAGGTCATGATCCCAGGTGCTGGGATCGAGCCCCGCATCGGGCTCTTGGCTCAGTGGGGAGCCTGCTTCTCCCACTCCCTCTGCCTCTCCCCCTGCTCATGTTTTCTCTCTCTCTCAAATGAATAAATAAAATATTTTTTAAAAAAAGCCAAGAGGTGGAAGCAACCTAAAGACCATCATAGATGAAAACATAAAGAAAATGTGAGATATATATATATTTTTAAGGTTGAATATTATTCAACCATTTTGTGGGGAGCCTGGGTGGCTCAGTCGGTTAAGCGTCTGACTCTTGATTTCTGCTCAGGTCATGATCTCAGGGTCCTGGGATCGAGCCTCGTATTGGGGGGGGGTCCACACTCAGTGGGGAGTCCGCTTGTCCCTCTGCCCCCCCCACTCGTGCTAGCCCGCTCGCGTGCTCTCTCTCTCAAATAAATAAAATCTTTAAAAAAGAAAGTTTCAGTTTTGCAAGATGAAAAATTCTAGAGATCTACTGCACAGCAATACGCATATAGTTAACACTACTGTACTGTATATTTAAAAGTGGCTTCAAATACTAAAAATAAAAATATTTTTAAAGGGTCTGGAGCTCTGAGAGGCGGCTAGGAGTTATAAGAGAAAGGCAAATGAGAAAAGCTTGTTTACCTCAGCCTCGGGATCTAGCATGATGCTGTCCTGTTATGGATCACCTACAGCTTTCCCCTCCTCATCACCACCACTATCTACATTCTCCCTGGTATCCCCATGGGCACCGCACTGCTGGAAGGGACTCAAAAAAAGCGTAAAAAGAAAGACTGCTAGAAGCTTACAATCTTGCGGTAAAGGCAGGACTCATATGAAAAGGCAAACAATAATACAGAGTAATGCATGGCTCAAAGGGGGGAAAAAGTTGCTATGGGGAAGCAAAGGGAAACTAAAAAATGAGAGCTCGTTATAGGCATTGTGCCAAATACTTTTACATATCTTATTTAAGCCTCCCAGTAGCACTGTGAAGCAGATAACCCCAGGGCAGCTCAGAGATCTTTAGGTATGCCTCTAGGATTGGAAATCGGGAGAGGGCTGGTGCTGCAGAAACCAACACCCCCAGAAAGTTCCCTTCCCAGTCACGCAGAGTGAACTGGGAATTACAGTTTCTTCCAAATCTTCCAACCTCGTCTGACAAAGTATCCTTCCTTCACACGTATAGTCTGCATAGGAGTCAATTTTCTCCTAGGTTGAATACCAAATGTAAAAGACCCAGTAACAGTCAAGACAAGAACGCAGCTCAAAGGATTACTGTTTCTAGCACATTCTCCTCCGAGTCTCACCCTTTCCATAAGTCTGAGTCTAATCCACTTGAAATCATCCTGTGACTCTCTGAAACCAAAGCAATTCAGCAGAAGCCCCCCCCCCATTTGTATTCACTACTCTCCACAACTTAGCTCCCCTACTAAACCCCGGCAGCCTTTTCACACTGAAGACTGACTTCTTCGGTTCAAGTCCAGTCGCAGAAGGCTTTGGGGCTTTCGAGGCCGAAGGAAGCCCCGTGAACGCTCCCCAAACCGGAGCCAGGGGAAGACTATCCTGCGGCTGGAAACTTAAACCAGGGAGGCAGGGGTAGTGACCCAGCAAGAGCCCCACAAGCCCGCTCGGCACTTCGCTCGCATCCTTCTCCACCAAGGCTGCTGGGTTCCGGGACTTCCTAGGGACTCGTGAGCCTGGGACAGAGAGGTTGCCCCACATGCGAGTCGCCAGCAGCAAGAGCCGTATGCATCCACCTCATCCCACCCCCAATGCCTTCCATCCCAAGGAACGGCTCACAGACTAACGCGGCCGTCCCGGGCTGGGGAGACTCAGGAAAAGCGCGGGGAATTTGGGGTGCGGGCGGGGGTGGGGGAGCGCTGGGGGCGGGGAGTCTCCCTAAAGATTACCTGGCAAAGCAGTCGTCCTCCCGCGCTGTTGACCGTGGCGGGCACAGCCTCCGGCGCGACTCTCGCCGGGGTGGGCGGGCTCGGCGGGCTCGGCGGTCTCGGCGCCACATCCGGGCAGCTCCCGAGTCCCACCCCCGTCGTCAGACGCAGTCTCGGCTGGGTGCCCCGACACCTCCTGGGAAGTGGAGTCCAGCGCCAGCCTCACGGTCTGCGAGTCACGGGCTTCTAGACTAACTACCCCCTTGGGGTAATCGAGGATTGCTTCGATCCGGCCCTCAGGTGCGGACCCCAAGACGAGCTACTCGGTTCAGAGGTTCCCCAAGGCTCCTCTTTCCCTTGGCACAGTGAGGCCGCCCCCTCCTCCCCAGACCCCGATTTCCTCCTCAAGACCAACGTTGACATAAGGAGTCAGGCAGGAAACTGAAGTATTAGGAAAAATGGAGGCGGTAAAAGAAGATGAGAAAGTGAGCGAATTAGAGTTACTTTCGATCACCATAGTAATTTGCATTTTCTAGACTTTTCTGTAAGTGGAATCATACAGTATGCACTCCTTTTTTAGCGGTTTTATTGAGATATAAGTTCACTCGTTTAAAATTATACAATTCAGGGGTGCCTGGCTGGCTCAGTCAGTAGAGCCTGTGACTCCTGATCTCGGGGTTGTAAGTTCCAGCCCTACCCTGGGTGTAGAGATTGCTTAAAAATAAAAATAATAATCTTTAAAAATTTTTGTACGATTCAATGTGTTTTTTGTATGTTACATTATTAATGTTTTTAAAATCGTGGCAACTACGCATAACGAAATTTGCCCTTTTAACCATTTTCAAGCATACGATTCAGTGGTATTAAGTACATTCACAATGTTGTTGTGCAAAACCATCACCATTGATATTTCCAAAACTTTTTTGTCATCCCAAGCAGAAACTCTGTACCCACTAAGCAATAACTCCTCATTCCCCCCTGCCTCCAGCCCCTGGAAACCAACTTTCTGTCTCCATGAATTTGACTTTTCTAGCTACCATTCATTTACTGATGGATGTTTTGTTTTTTTCCAACGTTTCACTGTTGTGAATAATGGTGCTATGAACACTGACATAGAAGAATCTGGTTTTGTTGACTTTCTCTATTGTTTTCTATTTCACTGATTTCCACTTTGATCCTCATTATTTTTGTTCCTTTACTTTGAGTTTTATTTGCTCTTCTTTTTCCTGAAGTGAAAGCTGAAGTCATTGTTTTGAGACATTTCTTCTGTTCTAATATAGGTTTTTAGTGCATAAAAACTACTCGCTAAGGGGCACCTGGGTGGCTCACTGCGCTAAGCAACCGACTCTTGAATTTGGCTTAGGTCATGATCTCAGGGTCATGAGATCAAGCCCTGCATCAGGCTCTGCCCTGAGCGTGGAGGAGCCTGCTTAAGATTCTCTCTCTCCCTCTCCTTCTGCCCCTCCCTCCAGCTCTTGCATGCACTCTCTCTCTCCCTCTCTCTCTCTTTCTCTTTCAAAATAAATAAATAAAATATATATTTTTTTAAAAAATTACCCCTTAGGGCCTCCTGGGTGGCTCAGTCGGTTAAGTGTCTGTCTTTGGCTCAAGTCATGACCCCAGGGTCCTGGGATCGAGCCCCACATCGGGCTCCCTGCTCGGTGGGGAGTCTGCTTCTCCCTCTGCCTGCCGCTCCCCCTACTTGTGCTCTGTCTCTCTCTCTCTCTCTGACAGATAAATAAATAAAATCTTTAAAAATTACCCCCTAAATACTGCATTAGCAGAATGCCATAAATTATATGTGTGGTTTCATCCTTATTCAGTTCAAAATATTTTCTAATTTCTCTTTTGATTTCTTCTTTGACCCATGGGATATCTAGAAGTGGATTGTTCCATTTTCAAATATTTGAGGATTTTCCCGAGATCTTTTGGTTGTTGGTGTGTAATTTACTTCCATTGTTTTTAAAGAATATATTTTGTATTACTTGACCCTTTTGAATTCATTGAGACTCTTTTTGTGGCCTAGAATATGGTCTATCCTGGTAAATACTCCACGTGCACTTGAAAAGAATATGTATTTTGTTGTTATTGGGTGGAGTGTTCTAAAAATGTCAACTGGGTCCATTTGGTTGATAGTGTTGTTCACTTCTGTATCCTCACTAATTTTATGCTTACTTGTTCTATTAATTACTGAGAGAAGGGTATTGAAATCTCTGACTAGAACTGTGGATTTGTCTAGTTTTCCTTGCAGTTTGTCAGTTTTTGATTCATGTATTTTGAAGCTCATATTAGGCACACACACATTTAGAATTGTTATGTCTTCTTCATTTATTGACCCCTTTATCATTATGAAATTACCTTCTTTATTCCTGGTATCTTTGTTCTGAAATCTACTTTGTCCCATATTTATATAGCCCCTCCACCTTTCTTTTAACCAGTGTTATCATATGGCACCTCTTTGTTTACATACTTTTACTTTTAACCTATTTGTGTCTTTGTATTTAAAGAGGATTTCTTGTTGGCAGCAAATGGTTAGGTCTTGCTTTTTTTTTTTTTTTTAACCCAACCTGATCATCTCGACCCTGTAATTGGGGTGTTTGGACCATCTACATTTAACATAATTGTTAATATAGTTTAAGTTTGAGTCTGTCATTTTGCTATTTGCTTTCCATTTGCCCCATCTCTTCTTTGCTCTCTTTTTCCTCTTTTTCTACCTTCTTTTGGATTAATCAATATTATTTTAATCCCATTTTTTATCTCCTTATTGGCTTATTAGCTTTACATCTCTGTTTTGTTATTCGAGTGGTTGCTTATAGGTTTATTATGTACAGCCATAACTTATCAGTCGACCTTCAAGTGTTCTTATGCCACTTCACGAAGAGTTATATGTTGTTATGTACTTACATTAATGTACTTCCATTTCTCTCTTCCTGGACTTTACACTATTATGCATTTTACTTTTACCCCACAATACATTGTTACTATTTTTGCTTAAACATTTAAATTTTTTAAAAATTTATTTACTTTAGAGAAAGAGAGAGAGAGAGCACGTACACGAGTGGGGGTAGGGGCAGAGGGGGAAAATCTTCAGGTAGATTCCCCACTGAGCATGGAGCCTGGTGCAGGGCTCAATCCCATGATCCAGGAGATCATGACCTGAGCCGAAACCAAGAGTCAGATGCTCAACCGACTGAGCCACCCAAGGGCCCCATAAACGGTTAATTTTTTAAAAGGTTTTATGTATTTATTTGACAGAGAGAGAGAGGGAACACAAGCAGGGGGAGCAGGAGAGGGAGAGGGAGAAGCAGGCTCCCCACTGAGCAGGGAGCCTGATGTGGGACTCGATCCCAGGCCCCTGGGATTATGACTTGAGCCGAAGGCAGATGCTTAACCGAATGAGCCACCCAGGTGCCACAACAGTTAATTTTAATAAACTTTATTTTATTTTAATTTCTTTTAAGTAAGCTCTACCCCCAGCATGGGACTCGTACTCACGACCCCAAGATCAAGAGTCACATGCTCTACCAACTGAGCCAGCCAGGCACCCCAATAGACTTTATTTTTTTAGAGCAGTTTTAGGTACAGCAAAATTGAGCAGGAATTACAGAGAATTTCCACATATTTCCTGCCCCCACACAGGCAGAGCCTACCCCACTATCTCAACAACCCACACCACCAGAGTGGCACATTTGTTACAACAGATGAACCTACATTGACACATTGTTACAATCCAAAGTCCGTGGTTTACGTTAGAGTTCGCTCTTGGTGTTCTATGAGTTTTGACAAATATACAATGACATATATCCACTATTACTATAGCATACAGAATAGTTTCACTGTCTAAAAACTGTCTGTGGTCTGCCTATTCATTCCCCTCTCCCCACAATCCCTGGCAACCACGGATCTTTTTACTGTCTCCATAGTTTTGCCTTCTCCAGAATGTCATATAGTTGGAATCATTACAATAGGTAGAATTTTCAGATTGGCTCTTTCACTTTAGTAATGTGCATTTGAGGTTCTCCCATGTCTTTTTATGGCTTGATGGCTCATTTCTTTTTAGTGAATAATATTCTATTGTCTGGATGTACCACAGTTTATTTATACATTCACCTTCTGAAGGACATCTCGGTTGCTTCCAAGATTCGGCAATTATGAATAAAGCACTATAAATGTCTAAGTGCAGGTTTTTGTGTGGTCGTGAGTTTTCAGTTCATTTGGGGAAATATGAATGTGATTGCTGGCCCAAATGGGTAATTATCTTTTTAAAACAGTTTTATTGGGGTAAAAATTTACACATCATAAATTCACCCATTTTAAATGCACAACTAAATGATTTTTAGTATATTGACAATGTTGGGGCGCCTGGGTGGCTCAGTTGGTTAAGCATCTGCCTTTGGCTCAGGTCATGATCCCAGGGTTCTGGGATCGAGTCCCACATCAGGATCCCTGCTCAGTGGAGAGTCTGCTTCTCCCTCTCCTTCTACCCCTACCCCCTGCTCATGTTCTCTCTCTTTCTCTAAGATAAATAAATAAATCTTTAAAAAAATCCTTTGTCAGACATATGACTTGTGAAATTTTCTTCCTCTCTGTGGCTGGTGTATAAGTTTCTGAAATAGCAGAAGTTGTTAATTTTGATATGTTCAAGTTTTTCTTTTATGCTTAATGCTTTTTTGGTCTTCTCCTGTGTAAGAGATCATTGCTTATATTTTTATGTATCCTATAGCTCTTGTTGCCAATATTTATATCTCTTATTTTGATTTCTCATTTCACTGCATTGATTAGGACTTCTAACATAATGCTGAATGGTAGCTACTTTACCTATGAAAGTCTGTGATTAGGTTTTAGGGAATAACAGTGAGACTGGAGAGAAGCTAGAGACACTACAAAGGAAGAATCAATAGAACTTGGTAACTAACTGAATAAGGGGGATGAAAGAGAATTACAGTTTAGAAATAACTTGGGTGTTAAGATTAGGAACAGGGAGAATGAAGTTGCCATTATCAGAAATGAAAAAATGAAGAAAGTTATTTGGGGAGAAAGATAAGCTCCATTTTAGATATTTTCATTTTGAGTTTACAATGGAGCTTTTATTCGGAGGTCCTCTAGGCA